ATAATTTTAAATCATCAAACATTATAAAGCCACAAGCCAGGCTATTAAACCTGCACTGTGCAGTGAGTATGACCACACTGTATCTTAGCTCAAATTTTTATACTTTGTAAACTAACTAGATACATTATGCTCAAATTTGGTGTTTGAAAAAAAAATTGATAATTACTATACAGTCTCTTTTGAAATGTAAAAATAAACATATTTTGAATACACATAGAGAAAATATGTTACGTTTTAAAATCTACAGGATACAGGTAATCAAAGTATGCTTACATAGAGTCATTAAAAAAACTTGCAGTTTTTATAAGAATTGACTAAACCTAAATTTGACAAGTAATAGACTGCAGCTTCCCAAACATATTTAATACATTTACTTATTCAAATTAGACATATTCAGGAAGAATTTACTAGATTTCAACAAATTTTTGAAATAAATGAGAATTGTACATGTATATTATCTAGACAGTTTCAAATTAAAGCAGGCCTAATCCATTACATTTTACCATAAGTTTAGCAGACTGAGGGAAAATCATACCCCCCCCCCCCCCCCCCCCCCAATAAAAATAAAAAACAAACAAAAAACAAATATTCTCCTCCAATTTGAAATAATTGCTAAAAATATGGAGTAAAAAAAGATACAACTGCCCTGTAATATCAGAATCACTTTAACTTACTTATATAAACATACACCACTATATAAAAATCCCACAGTAAATTTCCACATACATTTTGTACATGTAATTATTACATCATATGCATGTTTAAGTCCCAACAGAGATCTCCTTTTTAACCCCTTAGCTAATCATTATGTACAGACACAAAATCTCCCATTTTCTATTTTTATTACTAGCCAGACATCACATCAATATCAGAACCTGATCACAAGTTATGTTTGTATATTAAATCCAGTAGTTCCTATGCACTAGCTGCTACTAAAATTATATATCTGTTAGAGAAAAAAAATTACATCAGGAAAATGAAAAAAACTTTTTCAGATCACTGGAGTAAACAACCTGGCAAATGAAACAGTTCATGTTTTCACTAAAGGTATTTAATCACACTTCACTGATTGTATCCAAACAACTTATGTAACAAATCAGCCAAAAACAATATTTTTATGATTATATATATATATTTTTTTTCATCCTTGTTTTTCCACCTGTTCCAAATGGTAATGAAGATATCAATCCCACGATTCCAATGATGTCACAATGATTAATTAAAAAAGTCACATAGTGTTCTGTATTCTAAGGACTACACGGAACGTCGAGTGTTCTAGTGTCACAGGTTTATTGAAATCTGACGCAGACGTGTCCTACATTACTTTGAAAAAAAAGAAAACCCTAGAGACGTAAATACCCTGGTTTTATATATCTCCATCAAATCTATCCTTCGTCAAAGACTTTGACAATAGTAGTTGCATTGATAGTCTTTAATGTTCTATACTGTTCAACACTACATTATCAGCATTGACTCTCACTAATTACGCGTTTTTTGTCTTTGCTTAGAGGGGGAATTTTTTTTTTCCTATTTCAGCCCTTTGCTAACTGATAACAGTACGGAAACAAATAATGTCACCAAGCTACAGCTTATTGATTAATCCACGATTATCAGGAATATTATTTGTTCCGGCAAGTCGTATCACGATTCCATGGAGGCCGACTGGCTATCACTTCTGCTGCAATAAACATCAGACAAAACTTTGCATGTTGCATGACGTATGAAAACGTATTCATGCACCTGTGAATTGCCAAGAAATTACACATATGATGCCATAATGATGTGTTTTTAAGTGTTAATGTTAGATTAAACAGATCATTGTATTACCATATGGTATTTTTTATAGCTATTAGGCAGCACACCACACTAAATGAAGCCGCAGCTTCGAATGGCCAGGGAGGATTTCATGGATATAGTGACTATTGTGGATTTAAATGACTGGTTGTCTTTAAATGCATTTTCAGCATGAAATTTGTTTTTGTGACATGTAATATGATCATTGGCAAATTCGAAAACATGGTTAGAAATCACATGCTGATAATTATTGATGTCAAGGTCGCCATTGTTTGTAAACATTGCTTTTAAACAGCATGCTCGGTGAAAAAAAGTAATTTTACAGGGGGGTACAAACTTTCAGCAATAGCAAAAAATCTACAAGGCCAAGCACCTATTTCTTTGTGATATTTTGCATGCACAGGGAGTTGCTAAAGCAGTGACAGAGTTTTTGTAGACCGTATATTTGCAGGTATTTTTTGCCGGAGGGACGAAAAATGTTGTTTTGGGTCTCGGACCACTATAGATTTTTGGCTTTTACGGAATGAATTGGATTTTTTTTAACTGCCTGACTGTTGCACATGGGATGATTTCATTACAGATTTGCAATGGTATGACATATATGTTCTTAACAAAATGTGTTTTCTTTTTCCAGGTTGTGTAGTTTGGGATCAGATTTATCAGACATATTGCTTGTAGGACATTGACGGCAGAAACTTGAAATTTAGTGTGGAGTGCTACCTTAAGGTAAAATGAAATTTTTTCAATGCTTGTTTTTTCTCATTAAACTTTGTGTAAATACTCTAGAATACACACTGACTACAATGGTGATGAAATTTCATAATAATATTAAACACAGTGCCAGAAAGTCAGCTTTAAAAAGGGGAGGTAACTCAAATTCCAGAAATTCTTTGTGAAATGTATTAAAGGTGCAGTGTCTGCTGTGTTGATTACATCTACTTATTCTAGGAGATACAGCTTTAGAAGAATGCTAATTTTCACATATAGAGCTATGAAGGTTAAATTAGATGTTGTTTTCCTGCTTTTTATGACTTTTAAATTAGGAAAAAGGCATGCATTTAATGAATTTCAGCTGTATGTGTGAAATATGGCCATCCGAAGTGTTTCGAGTGATGCGAAATCATTGTATGGAGGTAAATTTTTGCTGGAAATCACTTTTAAGGGCAAGTGGGTATATAATCTAGGGTTTCTGGTGAGATTGTGACCATTTTAAAGCTGAGCGAGCAAGATCGACTAGTCGGAAAATTTGATTTTTGCACTGTCACTTGGTGAATTTCGATTCCCTAGGAGACCCACATTGTGATGTCTATAATGCTGTGAAGGCCCTGACAAATGCTTTGTCTCTTTGTTTTTGACAGTACACATAAACCTATATGGACATTGTGCATGCCAAATAGATTTTCTACTGTGTAGGACTGAAAAAATAGCATATTTTAGTGTCTGGCAGGAACATAACTGATATATTTTGTGCCCCCCCCCCCCCACAATGTCACATGAAGCCAGTTTATTCTTAAACTGTATGGCAATTTGTTGAATATTTCTTCCATATCATATGACATAAGGATATATTTGTGCAAATTAGTTGTATAGATAGTATGGAACCCATTTTGTCTACACCTTACATTGGGAATTCTTTCTTTTTCTACATGTACTAAAAACAGCGTGCCGAGGGCTGAAAATGGGGCAAACGGTATAGTTCATTAAAGGCACATATAAAGAAAAGCAAACAATTCCTAACAAAATTAAATCATTTTATTTATTGAAATATGCATAAATTTGCAGAAAAAGCCTGTATAAAGTCTAGCAATCAATGTTAAGGTGCTCCTTAAGGCAGCACACCACACTAAATGAAGCCGCAGCTTCGAATGGCCAGGGAGGATTTCATGGATATAGTGACTATTGTGGATTTAAATGACTGGTTGTCTTTAAAATGCATTTTCAGCATGAAATTTGTTTTTGTGACATGTAATATGATCATTGGCAAATTCGAAAACATGGTTAGAAATCACATGCTGATAATTATTGATGTCAAGGTCGCCATTGTTTGTAAACATTGCTTTTAAACAGCATGCTCGGTGAAAAAAAGTAGTTTTACAGGGGGGTACAAACTTTCAGCAATAACAAAAAATCTACAAGGCCAAGCACCTATTTCTTTGTGATATTTTGCATGCACAGGGAGTTGCTAAAGCAGTGACAGAGTTTTTGTAGACCGTATATTTGCAGGTATTTTTTGCCGGAGGGACGAAAAATGTTGTTTTGGGTCTCGGACCACTATAGATTTTTGGCTTTTACGGAATGAATTGGATTTTTTTTAACTGCCTGACTGTTGCACATGGGATGATTTCATTACAGATTTGCAATGGTATGACATATATGTTCTTAACAAAATGTGTTTTCTTTTTCCAGGTTGTTTAGTTTGGGATCAGATTTATCAGACATATTGCTTGTAGGACATTGACGGCAGAAACTTGAAATTTAGTGTGGAGTGCTACCTTAAGTATTAGGTACAGGCATTTTTTTCTGGTTTCTTTTTTGTGTGCTTAAACAAGAGGTTTACCGGTACCCAACCTCAGAAGAAATAAAACATTCAACTGTAATCATTTATTTATTTTTATGATTTTCATAAAAATGAAAAAATTAACTATATATGACAATAATAATTTCTTTTACATAATTATTATGAATTTACCCTATTTAGAAAAACCTTTGGTGTTCATTAAAAAAACTATAGTGTTGCAGATGCTGCATTAGTTCATTAATAGTTCATGAACAATCTTCAAGGACAGTTCATGTCCAAAAATTCATGAACTTGCTTATGTTTTTAAGCTTAATTGATGAATAATTCATGAATACCTTGAAATGTTCATGATTTTTCAAGGGATATTGATGAAACTATTTGAATTTGAGTAAAAATTGTTTTCTGCATATCAAATATTATATGAACTTATTATTATATATAGTACAATTTGTAACTATATCCTGTTTCATAATCCTGTATCATCATGTATAGTCTTCAATAAGGAAAACTATCACAGCAATAATCAGCAACGTAAAATCAGCATTTTATGAATCATGAAAAATTTCTACTTTCTATATTCACTACAAGATGAGTAATAAACTGTGAGGCTGAGAGTTTCTGCGAAATAAAATCAAGATTTCTGCATAAATATTGTCTATGTGGTAAATAAGCAGTGATACAAGATCTTACTTTATATTTCTAACGCAACACTCTTAAATTGTAAATAATTTCAAGTAGAGAACTGGAGGATGAATGAATTAGGCATTTTGTGTATCAGACTTATCAGTCTTTTTTTATAATATTCGTCACAGATGTTTTTAAAATTTTGCCCTTTTCTTTCAATGTAATAACACATTACATAACATTGTAAGAAATATATAACTACAAGAAGAATAAGTTGTTATAGAGATATATAAAATCTATGTAGAGAAAGCAGAAGCACTGTGATCTAACCAATCTGTCTGACTTTACAAATCGAAGGATCGCAAGTTCAATAACTCCAACTGAAATTGTGACCAACTCTGCATGATCACAAGAGCCTGTTGGCTGCGATTGAATTGTAACCCCTGTGATCAGTGCAGACCATAATCAGCCGGCACTTATCTATTTGTTTGCCACCTGATTATGGTCTGCACAAGTATAGAGCCAGGCCAGGCTGTCTCATTGAGGCTCTATACAGTAAACGATGTAATTTCAATTATTTTACAGATATCCTTAAAGCTGCAAGCGTCCAGATAAGCCAAATAAATTTCAAGAAAATCAACTTCTAGAGAACTGAAGAAAGATTTTAAGAAAAGTAAAAATATTCATAATATAATGATTAACATTATACATGTATATGCAATGAATGACTGACTTTGCAGTATTCATTACCATATTTCTACTGACACTGTGAGGAATGCAGTATTTAAGGGCTGTTTTTGCATATTTTGACTTTAATTTGGTAATTTATTTGGATAGAGCATGCGGTTTGCAATGTGTAAATTACTTTCTTTGTTCAATATTTTGACAATATTTTACTTAAGTATAGTTTTCAAACTCTGGCGTTGTGCCTCTTTAAAATTTATCATTTGATCAGGACAGTTGCAAAAATGGGAGCAGATCAATGGTAAAGGCATGACTCACAGGTAAATTATGGTATAATTAGTAATCGCTGCCATTTTTATGTGTCAAAATAGTGAATTAACAAATTAACATGCCCTTTTCTGTGCTCCACAATTAAAGATTCCAGTAAATTCTTTTGGATGATTCTTGCTAACAAAATCAAAATAATCAAAATAAATGTTTACCAATACAAGTTATGATTGCATAATGATCCAAAAATTGTGTACTTACACCAATCTGACCATTATATATATTTATTACAAATGGAAATATAATGGTATCATTTTACATACCACAGAGGGACATAAAAACAACACAACCAGTCTCTGCTATAAATTTCTCCTTATTTCTGAGAAATGAAATCTGTAGAAGGGAAATAAAAAATCAAACAATGAAGTTAACGATTCATGAGGGAATATCATTGAGTAATATAAACAGGAATAAAGTGGCAGTCTTTTTCATACTTTCAGCCTTTTTTTTACATTATCAAATGCAGGTTTTGTATTGAAAGTCGTCAATATACCATTGATATACAACATTTGATCGATATTGATTCACAATTTACGAAACCTTATAATACAATTAAAAACTCAATTCTTCAAGTCTTATGAAGATGTCAGAAGGGATTTGAAGGCAATGTAGTAGAACATTTAGCTCTCCCTAAGAAAAGCTGGATAGCATCTAGAGTTTTGGTATTTTCTGTGCTGTTTTTCTGGTTTTGTTTTAATATGTCAACCTCAGGAATCACCGTGGGTAAGCAACTTTGGTCACGTGACCACAAAAGTCAACGTACACGGCCAAAATAGCTCGGCTGAGGTAAGTTTTTTTAGTGATTATTTTTCTATCGAGCCAATTCAAATTATGGTACATAGCCTACCGACCGCGGCAGTTCCGATGCTTTCTAAAAATGTATTTGATGTCGTCCAACGATTTGTATTTTATGAGAACATTCAAACAATGTTTGCAAATTGTCGATGACAACGTACACACTATTGTGTAAAAGTGTTGATAATAACTTAATAAACGATACGCATGTCAGTTCTAAGTAAAATTTCAGGTCTTAAAATATATAAGATAATGTTTTAATGAAAAAAGAACTGGTTTCCTGCTGTCATTTTTTGTATTTATTTAAAAATTGACCAACTTACAGAAATGTCAACGTACACATACTGTCTAGAAAGTGTCAACGTACACACTCCCAATTTAGTTTGATAGTGGTCTGAACATGAGGCTGCAACTTCGAAATAGGTGGCTTTTTCCAACAAAAAGTTGGCTTTCAATTTAGATTGCCCTCTCAAACTGTATATAATTACTATTTTTTTTACAAAGGAAATAGTTTAGAGTGCATTCATTTCGTCGCAAATAAGCTTAAACAACCTTTAACTTTTTTATGTTATTTATTTGTACTTTTGTTTTTTAGAAGACAAATTTCCAGTTACTCAAACTGCTTAATGATTAGCTGAAACAGCCGTTTTTATATTTTATACTGGATTAATATAGATCGTATTACAATATAGATCGTAATTACAGTCATCTTAATAACGTAAACAGCCAGGATAAGGGTCTCTTGCTCAACCAACTAGTGCCTTCCGTAGCAGCAAAAGGGTCCAATGTTGACGATGACGCCGAGTTACAATTTTATATTACCGGTTTTTCAGCAGTTGCGTCACTTGATCCCCCACTAATGTTCTATTAACATTATATTTTCAAGAATATATCTACTTGCACTTGTAATGTAAAAAATAACTTATAAACAATTCACAATTTTATAGGTTGGTTAAGGCAACAAATTATACCCTTTTGTTAAATGGTTAGTTACTAAGTTACTAGTATATTGCTTTTACTGCTCAAGAAACCAGTTACTGGAAAATGGTTACTACTCGTAGTAATAAATTTACCGGAAAATGGGTTTAGTAATGAATTTACCTATCTTATTTTGTGCGCAATGTATGAGCTATAGATATGAATCAATGCCACAATATATATTGAAATGATTGTTTCAATGCAGAAATTTTATCGACATTTTGCTCAAATAAATTTTTTTTAATGGTTTGCTTGAATTTAAAATTTTGATTGCAATGCAAATTATTAAAATGTATGGCACTTGAGCATTTTTGTTGAATACATATATTAGACTTATGTAAATTAGCAGACATGGTTGGCAAAATTGTCAGTGAAACAAAAAGGGCAAAGAAAACTGTGAATGCAAAAATACATATCACGTCTATTAAGCTAGCTCATGTATTAAATAACAATGTTAATTACATGTGGCAATTACATAACTAGTGCAAGGAGATATATTATTGAAAATATAATGTTAATAGAACGTTCGTGATGTAATCATAGGGTGAAAGTGACATAACTGCTGAAATACCGGTAATACCTATAAACTAGTCACTCGGCGTCATTGTCAACCATTGGCAACTTTTGTTGCTACAGAAGGCACTAGGTTGGTTGAGCAAGAGACGCTTATCCTGGCTGTTTTCGTTATTAAATGACTGTAAAATGATCTAAATTAATACACTATAAAATTTCTGTTTCAGCAAATCATTAAGCAGTTTGAGTAACTGGATTTTTTTTCTTCTAAAAGAAAATCACAAAAGAACAAATAAATAACATTATAAACAAGTTAAAGGTTGTTTAATCTTATTTGTGATGATATGAATGTACTTGCAACTTTTTTCCTTTGTATAAACCTGTTTGAGAGGGCAATCTGAATTGAAAGCCAACTTTTTGTTAGAAAAAGCCACATATTTCGAAGTTGCAGCCTCATGTTCAGACCACTATCAAACTAAATTGGGAGTGTGTACGTTGACACTTTCTAGACTGTATGTGTACGTTGACATTTCTGTAAGTTGGTCAATTTTTAAATAAATACAAAAAATGACAGCAGGAAACCAGTTATTTTTTCATTAAAACATTCTCTTATATATTTTAAGACCTGAAATTTTACTTAGAACTGACATGCGTATCGTTTATTAAGTTATTATTGACACTTTTACACAAAAGTGTGTACGTTGTCATCGACAATTTGCAAATATTGTTTGAATGTTCTCATAAAATACAAAACGTTAGACGAAACTATATACATTTTTAGAAAGCATCGGAACTGCCGCGGTCGGTAGGCTATGTAACATAATTTAAATCGGCTGGACAGAAAAATAATCACTAAAAAACTTACCTCAGCCGAGCTCTTTTGGCCGTGTACGTTGACTTTTGTGGTCACATGACCAAAGTTGCTTACCCACGGTGAGGAATGCTTCCATTGCATTAATTCAGGCACAAAATTTAATGGGCACCTCAGTAGAACCACCGACTTTCAATAAGCTAGTTTGCTAGCTTCCTCACATGAAAGAATCCAAAGTCCCTGTTAGGATT